CTTTAGAGCCTCTGGCTTCGTCACTGGTAGATGGGGATAATGTCTGTTAGGGTTCTGAAAACTAGGGAATGAAATCATGCATGCAAAGTGCTTTGTACAGTGACTACATGGAGTAATAAAGGGAAGTTTTTGTTACTAGCAAAATTTAATATTTGCCTGATGGGTCTGGGGAGGTGGCATTATCATAAGAAAAAAAGGCTGTTTTTCTTTGGAATGTTTGTGGGCTAAAGTTGTGCGTGGATGTTTGTTAATTTGTGACTCCCTTCTGTTTCCGAGTATCACAAAAGCTGTGGTATGTGTGGGAGAAATGATGATAGGATAAAGTGCCTTCAATTTTTTTCCCATTCTCATAGAATAGATCGGCAACCCTAAGGCCTCTAGGGATCTGTAAATGCTCTCAGTCTCCAGATTGGATTAAGATCGAAATAACCTTTGTGGTCATCAGAGACTAACAAGTAAGGTTAGACTGACCTTTTTGAGATACCCATGGTAGAAACAATATTGGGGGTCACACAAAGTTGGTGATAAGGCAATGGTATAATGCTCTTGGGGAGATGGAGTAAACAGGCATGGAATTACTGGACTCAAAAGGAAAGGCCTGATGTAAATGAGCAGAGGCATAGTGATGTACTTCAGGGTTCAAGGTTTGTTATATTTGCTGTTGACCTGTTCTGACTCCTCAGCAGGTCTTTAACCACCACCAGCCTTCACTGACCTTATCACCACTACTTCACCACTGCCATCTGCACTGCCCTCAGCACCACTCCGACCACCACCACCACCACCATCACCGCTACCCTCACCAAGACCATGGCTGCAACAACTCAGGATCCTGAAGGACTCCAGTTGGGAGGGTACTTGCCTCTTTTCCGAGCTGTGGTTCCAACACCATCTTCTCTCTGCCTGGCCACCTTTCTTTCAGTCCACCAGCTCTGTTTGTAGACTAGAGAGGATTTGCAAATAAACTTCAACAGCTTTGCTCTTCTCTGACTTAGGAAAGAATTACTGATCTTTTGTCATTTGCTTTATAAATAACAAGAGATGTTAATTAGTTTGACTCATTAAATTTAAAGCAATTGTTATAACTTTGCAGTGTTTAAGTTCTTTAATTAGACGGTTTCTGATGTTGCTGCTCTGAGAGCAGGAGAGTTCCTGGGGAACAAACGTTCTTCTCCTCCTCTCCCTTTAGTGCCTCCTCTTCTTCCTGTTTGCCCTGTGGCCGCCAATCCACACCCCGGGGACAGGGGAGCCTGTTGTCCCAGACCTGTAAATGTTCCGTGACTGAAAGGATTGTCTCCTCTGTGATCAAGCTATTCAAGGCCAGGCCTGATGCAAATTATAAATAAAGTTTTTTCACTACTTTACTCCAAAGTGAAAGCACCAAAGCTGCTTTTAGAAAGAGATCAGATAAACTTATGTAGTGTGAGGTATCAGTGACAGGTTAGCAGTGGAGCAAATCAAAGAAATGGAAATACTGTTTAAAGAAATAAGATGGTATGGGGAGGGCAAGGGTAACCTCTTAATACTCTCAAAGGCCACTTCATAATAATTTATGTATATGCACCTTTAAGCTCTTCTTTTTATCTTCCCTCTCCTCCATCTGCCCCTTTCTCAAGACCCAGCTCAAAGGTGATGTCTTGCAGGAAGCGATCCTGATTCCCTGTGCTCCACATCACATGATGTCAACATTCTCTGTTCAGAATGGGCACTGTCACCTTGTTCTCCATTCTCCCTCTTCCAAAGGTGTCCAACCTTTTGGCATCAGTTGGGCCACACTGGAAAAAGAAGAGTTGTTTGGGGCTACACATTAAATATATAAACACTAACTAAAGCTGTTGAGCAAAAAAAAGGTTTTAAGTTAATTTACGATTTTGTATTGGACCAAATTCATAGCCATCCTGAGCTGCATGGGGCCCATGAGCTGCGGTTTGGACACTCCTGTGAGATTTGGCAGCTTCTCAGCAGCAGCCCTAATTGTCTGCCTAGCATCTAATACCTTGGCATTCAGGAAGTGCCTTGAGACTACAGTGAATTGTAGTTCTATTTGCTATTTGAAGAGGGCAATATTTTTTAAACATGATAATTTTTTTCAAAATTACGTGAGAGGTTGGTTGTTCATTCTCTTCTCTCTGAAGTCACTTGTTCCTGGATCCCAGCCTGGAGATACACCAGTAGGTAGGATAATTTTTTTTTTTAAAGAATAGAACACTTTGATGATTCTAGTCAAAGGGTATAGTTGGCTATTTATACCCTTGGTTGAAAGCCTCCTTCATGGCCAGTTCACTTTGCTTAGAGGAAAGTGTTCAGGTCTAAACAGGCTGTGTCTGGATCAGTGCAGAAGGAAGGGGAGCTGTCTCTCCTGGCCAGCTAGACCAGCTGGGTCAACCCTGGGCCCAGCTGGAGGAGGGCTGTATGAGCTCCAGACTCTTGTCTCTGGTAGGGTAGCTTGGGCAAAGATTGGAGCAGGCCAATGAATGGATCGGATTTTATGAAAAAGGTGATACCATCTGGCTTACATTGGAATCTATAATTTCTTTGTTTATCTGTCCTCTATTTCAGTTTTCTATGTTATGTGTATGTGTGCAGTGGAGAGAGACTGATTTTTGTCTTTTGTTTTAGAAATATAAAAAAATTATAATAGCCCAGAATTCTCCTTTTAGTTCTTTCTGTGTGAAGAATAGCTTCCCTTTGTTTTGCTTGCCTTGTTTGCTGCTGTGGGGCTCATGATCACTATTTATTCAGTCTACTGGGCTTGTAGACTGAAAGGTGTAGCAAGTGTGGCCACTGCTGGGCTCATAGGCACTTCCTCTTACCTGAACAGACAGGAAGAAAGAACTCTGGACATTGCTGTTTTTTTTTTTTTTACATAATGTCTTCTTTATGACATCATTTTAATGATCAAACTTTTATCCTAAGTTTCCTGATCTTTAAAAAAGTTAATCTAGCAATATGTAGCATCTCTGTCATTCTTCAGTGGACATTGTAAGGATAATTGAGGAACAGATGTTTTGAACTCAGTGTAAGGGAGAAGCCATCAGGCTCAAAGGTATTATTGTTATTTAGCTCCATACTGTTAACATATGATCAATAATGCATTAATTTTTGGCTCTGGCTGGTGTGGCTCAGCGGATTGAGCAGGGACCTGCAAACCAAAGGGTCGTCTGTTTGATTCTCAGTCTAGGGCACGTGCCTGGGTTGCAGGCCAGGTCTCCAGTAGGGGGCGCATAGGGGGCACGTGAGAGGCAACCATACATTGATGTTTCTCTCCCTCTCCCCTTTTCTTCTCCTCTCTCTAAAAATTAATAAATAAAATCTTTAAAAAGTACGTTAATTTTGGAAATGACAGTAAGATTGTGTTTGGACATCTATTCCTATTTAATCAGCACAATTGGATTTTGTCTGAGCTCTACAGAATACCTCAATTTGTATATTAAAAACAAATCAATGGGAAATGATCAGAAAGTGTTTACTACATTTTCTATTTATCAGCTATTTTTTAATTCTAAAAATAAGTGTCTTTAAAAGGAGTTTATTAAAAAGTTTCATTTTCTGGAATGTTATACATCTGTAATACATAATAAATAATGTAGCTGTCGGCTGCCTCCACTTTCATGCAAAATAAATGAATACATTTGGTGACATATATTTGAGGGGTTTAGTTCTCGTAATTTTCACAGAAATCAGGAACAACTTTGCAGATGATAGAAATTTTACCATCTGCTAGTAACAAAGAAACATAGCTCGCAACACAAGGCTCTTATTGAGTCTAGCGTATATGCTTGTATCGGCATGCCAGGATTCAGAATTCTCTATAGCTCAGTCTCCAGAGAAGCTGGCCTGTCAGCCTGTCATGGGAAAGGTTCCTTTGCTTTTAAAGCAGATGGCATGGTCCTCACATTGCTTGAATGACAGAGGAGGGAAGGGAGCTGAGTTTTAATGGCAACAGATCAAGAGAAAGGCATTCTCCAGGATTGTGAGTACCTGCACAGATTTCACTTGTAATTAGTGGAATGGTGGACTCACTGTTGAGAAGATACTGTCTTTATGAATCAAAACATTTAGTGTTGATAGAGATCTAAGTTCAGATGTTTAGGAAGAGATGGGGGTGGCAGGTACAGACTTTCTCTTACAGTGACATTGGCTTTAAGCAGGTGGCATCTTTGCTTCCTAGTTCTGACATGATGTGTGGGGGTTGTGGTTAAGGATAAGGTACGGATGGGCCGAGAAGAGCTGAGTGCTTCATGGAGACTACAGAGATGTCTACCAAGGAAGGGGACGAGGTTCCTCTGGAAAGGAAGGTGTTGTAGAAGTGTTGCCCCTCTTCTTAAGTTTCCTTTGTTGTCATCTGGAGAAGGGGGATGATTGTCATTTTTGGTCATTTTGATTTTATCTGACGGTATGGAAGGTACTGCATGACACAAGCGTCAGGGTGGTCCCATAAAAGATGGCCAGTGCATTTTGTTGGTGTATTATGTGTAGGTGGTCCTGAGGGTGCTCAGTCCTTTTTAGTATGAGAAGTCGTAGGCTAGGTACTCAGGCAGGACCTCATTAGAGAACTTTAGTTAGCAGCGGCCTGCATCTTGGGGTGCTTTTGGTTATCTTCAAGCTTAAAAAGGTTGGGGAATGAAACAAGTTTTGTTAAGGAGGAGGAGCTTCCTCCTCTCCTCCATCTTCTCCATGTTTGGAAGTGATTCTTACTTCTGACCCTGGAAATGCAGTGAGTCTGATATCTGCCTAACTGATTTTGATTTTTACCCAGATGTCTTTTTCTTAAATATACAAGCCAGGATGCAAACTGGGTGGGGTTTATAAATTTGTTTTGTTTTCATTGCTACACAACACATTGTCCCTCCCTTTTCTTGTCACACCTCCCGTTTGGAGCCCCTTTGTACCTCCTTACCCTTGGGGGCAGAAAAGCAGACAGGCCCATGCTCACTAGGATACAAGGACTGATCGGGCTTAAATGTTTTCCCTTCTTGTGGTATCTGCATTTCTTACAGGGGAGAAGACATCTTAAACCAGAGGAATGACTCTCTAGTTGTGGAATTTCAGTCATCAGCCAGCCGATGCAGGAGGTATTATTTTGGGCATGGGTGCCTTCTCAGAAGCCCAACATCACCCTAAATGACCACCTGCCTGCTTCATGTTACATAAGACCACGTCGTGCATCACTTATGTGTTTGGTTGGCTTGACCAGCCTGAGGGCAGGGAGCATGTTTGTGGGAGTCTCTGTGCATGGAGTTGGGCACAGCACACTGGGTGCCTCACAGGTGGCTGTACATTCTGGCAGGGGAAGGAGTGTGATGCATGCAATGCAAGCTTTTTTTTTCCCCCCTTACTGCACATGCTGGTATTGGTCCAAAAGTTAGCAAGTTCTCAGTGAAACTGGAATTCTCCTCAGTGAAAACCCACTTTGTATCCATACACAGCATGAGTCATGTGTCTTTGGAGAAGTCTCCATTTGAAACTCATGGAATGTTCATGAAAGCTGGGGTTTCATATTGTGAACATCCACAAGGAGGGCAGGATAGTTGTATTCCCTCCATTGAACTAGAAGCCTGTTTGTGAATAAAAGTGTCTTTTCCATCTTGTGCCTCCCTTATGCCATGTAAGTGTCACCATGGCCACCCAGAGAGTTCTTTGTGATGGCAGTGTGAGGGCTGTGAGCCTCTCCGTTAGGCTGTGGCCGCAGTCTCTCTTTATATGAAGGTCACCAGTTGGACTCCCAAATCTAATAACTTTGGGTAATGTACTAAGGATGAATTAAAATGCTAATAGACTACATGTTCTTTTTTTTTTTTTTAACATTCCCTACTCTTAAATTTAAATGCAGTGCCCTAGGTGCTCTTACAGCCTCACTGGGAGCATTTTTAGCTTTGCCAAGGAGACAGTGAATTTAAAGTATGCTCTGGCCAATGGGCAGAGCTGGGAGAAAAAGCAATATTTATTTTATGATTATTTTATTTGTGCCCTCTATAGTTATATAACAGAAATATTCTCTCTGTTCTCTCTTTTACTCAAGATAGCAGTTCAACTAAAAAACAAAACAAAAAACCTTATTATTTTCTTAAGTTTCTTTGAACCCACAGATCCTTTCACTATTAACAGTATTTAATAGCAATACATTGGATTTGGGCACCAAAAGCCATTCAGAAGCCCTTTTCATAGACTACCTTTCCTGTTTAAACCTTACACCACCACCATGAAACATCCCTGTTCTATAGTGGAGGCCATGGGTACAGACGCAGCATGTGGCGTTTTCGTCCTCATGTCACTGGTGAGGGGAGAACCACGGTCAGCAGGTCATTGTCTTGCTCCCAGCTTGAGCATCTGCCCTCAAAGGACTAAGTGGGGGGGTCTAAGCAAAATGATAGTAAGTCACTTAAATGAGATGCTTCTGCTAGGAAACAGAGGCAGCACTCATTTTGAGGGACACACACGTTCTTTGTAGTTGGTCGTGTTGGTTCTGTGTCTACACTGAGGCCAGATTTATCTACGAGCTGAAAAAAAAAGTGTTTCCTTCTTTCACTAAACGGGTCACTTCCTTATCATTAGTTGAATTAGGCCCTTTATTTTGTCCTTAATGGGGGGAAGGAACACTATTTCTTCCTTAGTCCTCCCAGTTATCTGGTGTCTGGTCACTTCATAATTGCATTTTAGGAGAAGAGATATTAATTTTCTCCAACGAAAGGCCGAGTTCCTTGATGACACACCATAATTCAATTTCCGTTCTTTCCCTTCATTGCCTGTGCCTCTTCCTCCTGGCACATTTTTCATAGTTAGGAGGAGTGATAGTGTCAAAGATATCAAAAGGAAGAATTGATTCAGTTCTCGTTTGACGACTTGACTGATTAACAGAGATCAGAAGAAGGCTCGTAACTGTGAAAGCCACTGCAGCGTGGAGTTTTAACAGCTCTTTAGGGAGCTGGTTAATGAAAGAATCACTACAGAAACATAGTCATGCAAAAAAAAAAAAAGGAAAGATCAGGAGCATTCCCATATAATGTTCAAAGACTGTGTCATAGGAGGAAATGTGCTCATAATTTCTATTTACACATTGCAATAATTACTGCCTGCCTTGAGATTACTTTCAGTCTTCTGCTGTCAGAGTTGCTTAGATATTTCCTCTTTCACATAATAGGCAGAGAGGTCTAGTACTGGTTGAAACTTGTCCTAAGGACTTTTTTCCTTCTAAAAAATGTGATTATCAGCCCTGGCTGGTGTGGCTCAGTAGATTGAGCACGGGCCTGTGAAGCAAAGGGTTGCTGGTTTGATTCCCAGTCAGGGCACATGCCTGGGTTGCAGGCCAGGTTCCCAGCAGGGAACACATAAGAGGCAACCACACGTTGATGTTTCTCTCCCTCTCGTTCTCCTTCCCATCCCCTCTCTCTAAAGATAAATAAATAAAATATTTTTTTAAAATGTAATTATCAGACACCCGAGCTTATACTGCTTGATTAGACCAGTTTTAATTCGATCCATGTTCTTGTTATCATCACCATTTGTCCATGAACCAGACCTCTGCACTTGGGTGAATGTGAGATTGGACTTTAGCCTTTAATTTATGTATGTGTGTGTATGTGTGGTTATTCTCTTTTCTTTCTCCCGATGCAGTGTCTATGAACCAGATAGAAATGTGTTACGGAGGAAAGAACGAGAAAGGAGAAATCAGGAAACTCAGCAGGATGATGGCACATTTAATTCCAGTTATTCCCTCTTCAGTGAACCCTACAAGGTAAATGGCTTCCGGTTGTTCATCTCCACCCCTCACTCATTGGTCCCTCTTACCTTCAGGATAGCAGTCTTGACCAGAAGAGTTGACCAGTCAGATTTCACTTAGTTTTCCTCCTGTTCAGCCTAGGAAAGACAACCCAGCCACTTAAAATGAGGCCTTCCCTGACAAATCTTAGTGTCAGTATTGAGAGTTATTTGCTGTAATTTTTATCAATAATATAGACTTCATCTCTGCATTAATTTTCAAAGTCAGTAACATTTGTTATGTTTTCTGGGGTGTTAGGAAACACTATTTAAAGAGGTTAGGTTACATGTCTGTCACATGTAGATCTTGGTGGGATCAGAGTCATCTCATGGGGCTAATAACACAGAAACTTGGATTGGTTCCATTACAGAGAAGCTAGAAATATAGCTACTTTTTCAAAGTGGAATATCATCCCAATCTCACTAGTGTCTTAGCTTAGGCTGCTTGGAGCTGTGTATAGTTTAAACCTGCAGCTTCATGCTCATTTAGCTCCATATTCATTTTAAACTTCACTCTGCCTTCTCTTGCCTGTCACAATTACTCTGACAAGAATAATTACATATTTAGAAATTGAAAAAAGAACAATTTGAGCCAGATCTGAATTTTCAAGGAAAGCTCCAAATGGGACTACAGAAAAGAAAAGGAGACACTCCTGGAGAGTCTTTATGAAGTTGCACTAGTCCAGTGTGTGATTTCCTCAGCTGCCACACAGTCCCAAGGACCGGTGCCTTTTTTGCCTACCCCAGGGCCCTCAGCTTTCTGGATGTGGTGCTCCCAGACCTCTTCAGAGATGACGATTTTGATTCACCCATCAGCTCGCATTGTGCATGTGACAGCCCAGTGCTCTGTGGTTGAGAAAGGCACCTGTCCATCATTTGCCGTGTTTCCGTTGTCTCTAACAACAGGGTGTGTTTTTCTTTCTCCAGACTAACAAGGGGGATGAGCTCTCCAACCGGATCCAGAATACCTTAGGCAATTATGATGAAATGAAAGACTTTTTAACTGATAGATCTAATCAAAGTCATCTCGTTGGTGTTCCCAAACCTGGGGTTCCTCAGGCTCCTGTGAACAAGATCGATGAACATTTTGTTGCAGATTCAAGAGCCCAGCCCCAGCCCTCATCTGTTGGCAGCACTGCATCTTCCACACCAGCAGCTGTCCCTGTGCAGCAGAGTAAGAGGGGCACCATGGGCTGGCAGAAGGCTGGGCACCCGCCACCTGATGGCCAGCAGAGAGCAAGTAAGCGTGGACACAGGTTGATTGATTTGAACAGATCTGCTAATCCAAAGAACCATAATAAAAAACCTAACCACTGTGTGTCAAGCCCCTCATCCTCACCTTCCTCTTCTTCTTCTTCTTTCAACTCAGCACAACAGGGCTCTCTCAGGACCTTGCTTGGAGATGGTGTTGGCAGGCAGCAGCCACGGGCCAAACAAGTGTGCAATCTAGAGGTGGGTCTTCAGACCCAGGAAAGACCACCTAATATGCCAGCCAAGCACAGCAGCAGTGGACACTGTGTTCAGAACTTTCCTCCATCCCTGGCTTCAAAACCCAGCCTGGTTCAACAGAAACCGACCGCATATGTGCGGCCAATGGATGGCCAAGATCAGGCTCCTGATGAGTCTCCGAAGCTTAAGTCTTCCACAGAAACCAGCGTGCACTGCACGTCATACAGGGGAGTCCCTGCCACCAAGCCGGAGTCCACCAGAGCCAAGGCCAAGCTTGCCAAGTTCAATATCCCCAAACAAGCAGAGGTAAGCCTTTTCTCCTTACTGCTTACATGCATGAGTAGTTCTGTGTGACTACCTCACAGTTGTGAATTCAGTTTTCATGTTCCTTTACTTCGGTGTGTGACTGACTTCATGTGGTAGGATTGCAGCAGTCCATAAGGAAGTATGTACGCATAAATAATGCTTTCTTAAAATATCAAATTGATTATAGTCAGAATTTTTAAAATTCTAACTAATGTAGTTGTATGTGTGTCTCATTTAGTTCAGGAAGGAATGTCTTCTGGAATTTTGTTGAAGGGATATTTTGTAAACAAGCCAGTGTCAATGGAGATATTAGATACTAAAAATAAAAGTACTTTAAAAGCTGTGATTTTTAACCCTGACTGGTATAGCTCAGTTGTTCAGGCATCAGTCCCACAAAGCTGATGGTCACTAGTTTGATTCCTGGTCAGGCACAAGCCTGGGTTGCAGTTTGTTCCCCAGTCAAGGCACCTGCAGGAGGCAACTGGTCAATATTTCTATCCTTCCTTCCCCTTCTTTCTAAAAATAATATCTTTTTAAAAAAGTTATAGCCCTGACTGATGTGGCTCAATGGATTGGGTGGTGTCCTGCAAACTGAAAGGTTGCCAGTTTGATTCCTGGTCAGAGCACATGCCTGGGTTGTGGGCCAGGTCCCTGGCTGGGAATCTTTGAGAGGCAGCCGATCAGTGTTCCTCTTGTGCATCGATGTTTCTTTCCCTCTTTTTTTCTCTCTCTAAAATAAATGAAATCTCTAAAAGTTCTCTAAAAAGCTATAATTTTTAGTATGTAAGCAAGATAATTTTTTATGTAAAAGAGTTCAGAAATTTAATATTTTGGTCAATTTTGGAATGTTTCAAGACAAAGTTAACAAAGTAAAACTCAGAATGATTTTGAAAGTAATTTTTAAATGATTCATTGCTGATTATGGTGAATATTCAAATGTATCAGATGCCCCATCCATATAATAATATTTAAGATCCAGGTTCCTTGGTCTTAATTCAGTAAGGAGTCTCTATGTCCTATAAAAATTATCTTAGGTTATAGGAAGAGAATGAAAGCTTTTAGTTCACATTCTCCTGGTTTGCATTTTGACTTGATTTAAATGTGAAGATTGAATGTATGGAATATTAGAATTTAAAACAAGCAAATCACATAGTCACAGAGATAGCAAAGAGGCCATGACTAGTAACTTGAACAGAAATCTGGATGGAAAATGAAGTTTTGTTGTAGAGAAGTACATTTCATACTATATTCTTGATTGATGACAGTTGTCAAGAGCAGATGAATAAGAAATATGACTGCACATGTTTTTCCTTTTGCTGTGATATGGTATATAACTGAAATAAAATGTGAGTTCTAGAATGTTGTGCTTAAGAATGGTTCAACTTTTTTTTTTCTTTTTGGCATATTCTTTTTTAAAGATGGAGTAACATTGTGGCCAGAATAGTCTTTGTATCTTAATTTGATTTAATAACCAAATGAAGCAAAGAATTTAACATGTCCTTTTGAGTATCTGACAATGCTAAACTTAACCATTTTTGAGCTATCATCTCAGAAAGCATCATGCATGAGCAGAGAAATCAACACATTACTGTTAGAGAAGACTTTTTGTTAACTTTGAGATACACAGGTTCTTATGAAGAAATTAGTGATGTATATAGGAGTAACCAGTAACATCTTTTGCTAATTCATTTATAATGGATCCAAGAACATGTGCATTAGGAATCAATAGAAGAAAAAAATGTAACTTCTGCAAGAATTTACGTTTTAAAGTTTGTAGGAAACACATGTAGATACCACCTTACAAGCCTGAATTCATCAAGCCCTTTGATGATTTTTGTTATTGTCATCAAATGGCCAGAAAAAAAAAGTATGGTTTATCCTTGAATAGAGTTGACTGCAGCCATCAGGAATCCCTTTGTAATTTTAATCCAGATTGATTTCTTGCTAAAATGATTTTTATGTACCAAAGAAACTTCAAATTCATTTCATAATAATTTCTTTATTTTGGGATCTAATGAGTTGACAGAGCTCTGGTTGGAAGCTGTGTTTGGTCACCAATCCAGCTTATTAACTAGATAGTTTTCATTAGTTTTTTTGGGTGTGTTGTTAATAATGAGGACACTTTGAGGATGCCCTTGCAGGACCTCAGATTGGGAGTGACGTACTGAACTGGTGTTCGGTAATCACAGGAGGAGGGAAATGCCTGAGATAGAGTCAGACTGACAGAAATTAGAGCTTCGATACAGGAAGTGTTTCACTTCCCCATGTGTAATGACATTGAACCAGTCAGCCTGTTTCTTCCCAACATTCTACACCAAACACTTTGAAGAGCACAATCACGAATTGATAGGAAAGAGGTAAGAACTGTTGCTCATAGTACAAAGTTATAATTGGTGGATTTTTTTTATCATGGGATATACAGTGCTTACTTTAGCAGAAAGCTTTGCATTTTATGGAAAATAGGGTAGTTTGGATCTTGTTAACACTGCTGTGTTTAATCAGTCCCCTATCATAATAACGAAATGGCTCTTTCCAGTTAGTAGCAGGGTGGTAACCTGTAAGTTACATTTCCCAACCTCCAGACTCAGAGGGGTTTTTTTGTTTGTTTGTTTTTACTCTAGGAAATTAAGAAATACGCGTTGGCAGCTATATCATTTTACAGGGCAATTTAATAAAATCCACATTCTTAACATAGAAACTGAAGAATTTTATCAACCTGTCAGATTGTACTTTTGAGGGAATATTTGCTTTTGTTTTTTGGAGAGAATAAAACAGTTTTTAAAATACCAATGTCTATTTTTTTCTTACACAGATACCACCTGTATGAAAATACCTTCTCAATAGTTGACTGATCTCCAGTGAAGCAGAGAATGTGTTTTTTTAGGGAAATTGACAGAGGAAATGACCTGAAGGGAGCTTGTATTTCTCTACTATACTTTTTTAGGATGATAGCTGTAGAGCAAGACTATGACAGTGTGAAGAACTTGGGAGCTGAAAGGAAGTGTTAGGGAAAAGTGGCAGAGACAGGGAAGGTACAGATATAGTTGTGCGGCGTTGTGTAGGTATGTTCCTCATGAGAAAATCACATCAGTGACTAGGTATGGTGTGATGTGAGGCATTATAAAAAAAATCTAAGCTGTGGTCTCTGCTTCCAAGAAATTTACATGAATTGAATAAATTAAATGCCAGCACTTAGCTTATACTTCTCAATTTCTGTCACTTAAAGTCCAAACTAAATTTAAAATTATCTTTCTAGCCCTAGGACAATTCTCTCATTTTCATAATCCTTGTAGACAATATTCTACATTATTTTAAAAAATTGAGAATTTGTGAATCTCTTTTGCCTGATTTTACACTTATAAATTCTTCATTCTTTCCCTTATAACACCTGCACTGTATCTGCTGCCATGGCAAGTTATTTCTCGTTATTCTTTAGTCTTCTATGATAGGTAATTAGTGTAGAAAAATTTAGTGCAATTTGATGTGGAAGCTAAAGACCTCAGGGGAATTCCTTAACTGATACACCTGCTTCCTGGCTGGCCTTTCTTAGCTCAGTTTTGTGTTTAATGAAAAACATATTTTTGTTGTTATAGCCAAGTCTTTTACTCTTGATGCCACCCCTCATTAAGTGGGCCTTCCCTGGAGTGCCACTTGGAAGGGTGACTGCTGTTAGGTGAGAGTCAGGGGACTTAACAAATGACCGAAGCATGTGTTCTAGAATGTTCTAGGGTAGAGCACACTAAATCTTATTTCTAGTTGATGTGAATTATTTTTTGTTTCACACAGAAACACAAAATTAATATTTTGCCTTTAACATGTAATTCAAGATGTGGATATTGGAGACTATTTACCCAGAGGGCCAGATACAGGTTTTGTGGGACCACAATAAAATATAATGTTTTGGGGGTCCTCTTTAGAAAAAACAGAATAGGAAAACATCTTGCACTTGACATTTTTCCAAAATCATATATTAGCACATTGCTAGGTCCCTTCCTGGGGCCTTGGAGAATAGGGGTATTCAGGAGGCCCTGAAGCGGCTGTGTCATTAGCTTCCCAGTGTATCTGTCTTTGGCTCATGGAACAATAATAAATTATTATTAAAATGAGAATTTTAGATTTGAAAAGAGTGCTTTATATTAGCCTCAAACTTAATAGAATTTATCAGTGATGCTAGGTGATGTAGGCAAGGCAAAAATGAGACAATACTATGAAACAGTCTAATATGCAGTGCTATGGAGACAGAGTATGGGTCTCAGAGGCTGTGAAATTGTTTGGCAAGGTTACAATTTCAGCAGTGGTATTCCAAAACATACACAGTTTAGTCTCTGTTAGCTGTTAATTTAATAAGTAGCCGTGATTTGAAACTACTCTTACAGAGGGCTCCGATAGCTGGAAATAGAATGCATTTGAAAAGCCAGAGAAGGAAGGAAACCCGTGGCTACTGCCCTTACTTAGTGATAAGGGAAGAAACACCTAACTTCGAATTTCCGTGAATAGACTGTGTTTGAGGAGTTTTTGTTGTGGTTGAGAATTCATCCTCAAAAACAGAGTAGCCATTTTGGTTGATCAAAATTTTATTTGCTAATATAAGTAACTAAATAGTTGAAGATGTATTGATTAATCATCGTGTTCTCATGATGGGCATTTTAAAATCACTATTTATACCAGGAATAAGAACATAAAGCTAAAGTATAGTGACTCTACAAAATAGCTTCCTGGAAAAGCAATTAACTGTTTTTTAAGTTCATAGAAGATAAATGGTGTAGGCTTCCTATTTCCTGTCACTCTTGGTTACCTTTGTATGAAAGTGGGTTTCTTCCACATTAAGGTCGGCACCAGCCTGTAGGACCAAAAAGGCATCTGCAAAGCAATGTGTACGTTACGTATTTGTGCCAGTCCAAAGTTCTTAATTACATTTGAGATGTCTAATGTTTTCAAATCCAGCTATGCTGTTTGATTGTGTGTTGATGAGATGAGGGTGAGTGGCTAGCCTGGAGACT